ACTCTTTCCACTGATAACGAAAAACCCATCAATTCGACCACAAACTAATCATCAACGAGATGAGAAAACATCGGATTTGACCATATCATTTCTAGGTTAACTCAAAATACACCCAAATCTTCCAAAATAGTAGGGTAAACTGAAAAGGGCTGCAACAAAAATCCTAACCTGAGGGGCTATTAGCAGGGGTCGGGCTAGGGTTATGAAACCCTCTATGGTGAGCGATAACCGCCGGTTTTCCAGTCGGAAAAGGGCTGCCGCCGAAACTCCGCCGCATCGGGTCTCCGGATTCTGAGTTTCTGGGTCTAGGGTTTTGTCTGCAAAGGACCGATGGAGACGAAGAAGGAGAGGAAGGCAACAGAGCAGGAGCCTTGTTGTTCAGTGGAGCAGCCATGATTGAAGAATCGATCGGATCCTATAAAGACACTGATTAGCGGTAAATCTCAGATCTTTAGTTCAAGAATCGCAAGAGAGTAAATGCTCGAGAGAGAGAGTAAGAGAGAGAGAGAGAGAGAGAGAGAGAGAGAGAGAGAGAGAGAGAGAGAGAGAGAGATTGTAACGGCTACTTGAGGATTTGAAATGGCGATTCTTTGGATTTAAATTGGCTGATGGATTTTTTGACCGTTGGGCGAAGAACAAATAAAGTTGCTTCAAGATCTGGGATTTGATCATACGTGGCTTAATCTTAACCGTTGAATATTTCAAAAATGATAACCGTTGGATATAAAGCTTTGTGGTCTTAGTAGTAAAACCTTTTATATTTATTTCCAAATAAAATTAATTTAAAATCAGATTCCATGGAAAGATACGCATCGGAAGAAAATGTTGGATTTCATCACAGTTTTAATTTATTATCTGAATTTCTAAAATAATTATAATATAATTCGTTGAATGCATTGTTAAAAAGTTCATATTTATAAGCAAAGAGATGGATGGATTCTTCGTTTTTGATCATTTCAAAGAATAAAATATTTCTTAGTCTTAATTAGTGGTGACCTATTTGGTTAATAACTGAATAACTAAACCGATCAAAACTAAATAAGATATAACAGTAATCGAATCGAATTAGATATAAAATTGAATGGTTACGATTTTTCTAAATCCAAAAAAATCGAATCTGAATCTCTACCGAACCGAATAAAAATTAAACAAAAAAATCGTAATTTTTTTTAAAAATAAATATTTTTTTTATCATAATCGAATCGAAACCGAATCGAATGTAACCAAATTGAATCGAAATGAATTTAATGTAAAAACCGAACGGTTATAATTTTTGTAAAACCAAAATAACTGAACTCGAATATAACCGAATCAAACCCGTACCGAAACCGATTAAACAACCTTGGACTTAATAGCCGTGTATATATATATATATATATATATATGTATATATCATAGTCATTTGATTTTTTTTTTATATAAATCATATATTATTAAATTGATATAAGATGACGGTACGTCTTAAACAATATGGATTTAGTCGGAACATGCCACGAGGGCATATTTGCGATGATTACTTTTGTATTGTGATTATGGGTTCGAAGATTAAAATCATCCAATCCTCGGGGATATTGTTGAAAGATATTTCCATTAACACAACACGTTGAATCATATATATGTTAATTAATAACCCTTAAATGATAGGACACGAATTATAAAAATTAATTACATAAAATACACTGATTTTTAAGTACCAAATTAACTAAATATAATGGATTTTCCAATTGACCCATGCGTTTCTCCAATTTGATTATATTTCACATTCGTAATAGAGACAAAAATAATCACAAAAATTTGATGAAAAGATAAAATTAGAATAAGATAAAGCAAACTCTTTACCGGATTGAACCAAATTTAATTTGGTGGTTTTTTTAATGACAAATTGAATCTAATTAATATCGACCGAATCCAGAATTTGAACCGGTTTGATTAAAACCGGCGGACAACAAAACCGAGTCGTTGTTCCCTCCCGCTCTTCTTCCCTCACCGTTCCTCTCTTCCTCCCCCGCCTCCGCCTTATTTTTCTTCATACCCAAATCGAGAAACCCTATTCCGCGAACCAGAAGAACCTTCCCCTCTTTCCC